GGGACAAAGTATATGTGAACTGCTGTATGAAAAGTGAATTTACTCTGTAAATCTTCACCCAAATCAAAATAAAATTAAAAAAAAAAAAGAAAGAAAAGAAATACTGCTAAAGGTTCCTTACTTGACATGAGATAATTTGCCTTTTTGTGTTTATTTTTGCTTTTACAAATGTGAGATTTTTAAAATCTTTTGTCTGTTACTAATACCTAAGGTCATAACTTTTCTTGTGTGTTTCATTCCAGCTCCAAAGAGACTACCAGAATTTCCTTGGGCAAAAACACCCTTCCCCTTTGAGAAACCTGGGGATACTTTGGGTAATGATAGCACCTTAAATCTGGTGTTAAGAATGTGGGTGGGACATGTTTACTGATTGCTGTCTCTGCAAACTCCAATGAACTGGTGAATCAGTTAACTTGTCCAAACAAATGGTTGATTTGATTTAAAAAAAAAAAAAAAAAACTATTTGTCTGAATGTATTTTCTATAAATTCAGTAAGTATAATCAGTCTATTAATTCCTCCTAGCTCATGTAGTTAGTTTTCTGCCCTTAAAAGTATGGCACCAAACTCCCATCTTTCTAAACACTAAACACTCTTCAGATGGGTGCATGTTGATTTTTTTTTCCTCAATATATAATGATTTTTAATTGGATAAATATGTATTTTTTATTTCGAGCCTCTGGTAGCCACTTAACCATACCAATAACATACTTTTGTCTCTTACTCCTCTCAAAAAATCTTCAGCAATTTCTATTTTTTCCCCCACAGCTTCAAGTGAAAAGCCATGGATTGCGCCTGCAACTAAAATGTCTGAAGATACCAAAGTTCTACAGCCTCAAACTGGTAATTGTATTCATTAATTAAAAATAATAATAATAACAATTTTAACTTTTTATTGTTATAGATTCTTTCATTGATTATACATTCTTGACACTTAGATGGATCTCATTTTTCCCTAGTACAAAAGCAAAATGATTTCTCAGCTGTTTTAATTTCTGGCTATATTATTAGAAATCTCATTAGAGTGTGAACTCTGAATTTGTTCATTGTTTTCTAGGAGTCTCTAACAACATGCAGTGACAAAAATAGGGAGCAGGCATTCAACTAAGTATCCCTTGCAGACAGATATTTGCTTCCTTTTCAACAAAATGTTCAACGAACATTTGAGAGTTTACTATGTTCAAGATATTGTACTAAGTCCTAAAATCTGTAGGGCTATTATGATACAGAGGAGAGACTGCAATCTTGGAGTTAATAATGGATCTTAATTCTCCCACTAATATGTGCCTTTGTTATTTTTCTCCACTTTTTCTGAGTCTTGGTTTCCTCATTTGTAACCTGTGATGATGACTTTTATTTCTCCTGAAAATTCTTGTATACCACAACCACAACTGACTAGTTGTAATGCCTATAGCAACTAATATCTAGGATATGAATTTTATACAAATCTTGACTTAAACCAAGTTGAGGTCAGAAGGAATATGTTGGAAAGTAAAGGTTGTGGAATTGCAAAGAGACAAATATGATAAGATGGAAGATCCCAGTACAGGAAAAGTTCATTTTGCCTTTAATCCCAGAAAAGGAATATCCTAGATTTTCTGGGTAGAGTATGATTAGTGGTTAAGGGGCAGGAATCATCCTCATTGTTCAGCTACCTCAGTACTGACAGGGCAACTACCAATTCCAGCTCTCACTGGTCCAAGTATTAGGCCTTGCTGTGGGTTTTACAGTTCAGTAAGCGATGGATGCAGGTACGAGTATTAGCCCCAGGAACTTTTCAGACTGCCCTTACAGTATTTTCTGCTATATGGACTAGAAGCATCGACATCACTTTGGAAAATGTTAAGTTGTATTCTTTGAAAAAACAATAAATTTTAACAGGTATTGATGACATTGTTATATCAAAATGAACCTGTTTTGTTTTCTCTGTTAGGATGTTTGTATTTACTATGTCAGTTCCCTTCAGCCAAAAACCACCAAGGACCAATTGTAGTTGAAAAATGTTAGGTTTGTTTACTCATTGCTATGATGGAGAATACAGACCGTGGAGAACTGTAGAATCTTTCGATAAGAGAGTGTTAGAAAGGACTAGCAGTTGGTTATTTGGACTTGTGTAAAATTTTCAAGGAAGTGAAGCTTTACTCGGGGTTGAATACTATCAGAAAGAGGGAGTCATTCTATGATTGAATATCTTAATTCTTAACTAGGATGCAAGAATGACAGAGGAAAGCCAAAGCCATCATTGGCAAAGAAGCAACTATTGCTTCTATTAGTCAGCTATGGGAATGTTGGTAATTTTGGTGATTTGGACAATGTTCGTGTTTTTCCTCGTGTCCCACATGATTACGGGGTAATTTTGTTTTTATCTTGATCCATCAGTGTCACCCAGTGGCCTTGTCTTATATTCATGTTTTTTAAAATTATTTATGTTCAATAGGAGAACACTGCTGTATATCAGAGACTTTTTTCTATCAATACCTTTTGTAAAATTTATTCTGCTTCAACATTTATAGGATTTTTTTTCAACATTTACTTTATATTCTGTGTCAAAAAAAATCAGAATGCATGCTCTTAACAAGGTTTCTGTATCACTTCTGGATATAAAAGTCTGTATGGAAATCTAACTTACATGCTGCATATTGAAATCCCTGTGCCATTACAATAGTTTATGTCAACAATGGGACAAAGTATTTGAAATATGGAATATTCCATAACATTTGTGTAGTTGCCAAACATGTCCTTCCCCATTTTAGCTTGTTTGCCCTAATCTTTCATTGTTACATTTTGTGATCTCATTATTTGGAATTGCATTTTGTATTAAACCTTCTATAAAGTGTGGTTTATAGATAAAGCAGGATTGATCAATTTTGATACCTTTGGCAAATGCAATTTTCTTTAAAGTATATAAAGGAAATCATGAAAATCCGCTCTATAATTATGTATCAAGATATAAAATTGTTTGTAAATTCTGTATTGAAAAGGTTGGCCTCATTTTCGAAATACTTAAGTGTTCATGACAATTATTCAGGGAAAGTCAATCCTGATGATGATGCAATAGAATTGGTATTAGATTCTGTTGGAAGGCAGCCAGTTGACTATGATTTCAGTGTCATTACAGACTGAGTTCTAGAAAAGCTCTCAGCGCCTTCAGTCCCCACATGAGTTGTGTTTGCATGCACTGAATGTGCTCATTGGATCATCTCTCCACTGGAGTAATATTATTTTGAATTAACAAAGCAGTTTTCTTCCAAGAGATTCAAAACATTTTATGCATACTACCGTATCAATCCTTCCAATGTTCCTGGAAACTAAACAAAGGAAGTTATTATTTTCTTTTATCCTAAGGAGATACGTGAAGGACTTGTCTCTGAATGTGTAGAGGAGAAAACTGGACGCTAATTTGTTTCTTCCCTAATCTTCTCTCCAACAACCCACTCCAAATTAAAAGTGAAATAATGCTATGTACTTTGCTCTGAAATTTGAAGAATTAAATGTTGTTATTGGAGAAAAACCAAAACCAAACTCATAGCTGTCGAAGACAAGTGCCTTCCAAATGTGAAAGAAAGTCTTGGAGAAAGACTCATCAGTCCCTGAAATTCATTTTTACTGTGATTGTGATCAACTTATCCTTGTGTTGTGGTATGAGACAGAGCTAGAGCAATATCCAGCTCAAATGTATCAGCTATGTGACTTCAGACAAGTTATTTAACCCCTCAGAGCCTTAGTTTCCCCATCTATAAAATGGAAATAATTTATACATTTTTCCTCAGGTTGTTATGTTGTTGTTGTTGTTATGTGCCATTGAGTCAATGTGACCCCTCCTTGGGTTTCCAAGGCGGTATCACTATGGAAGTAGATTGCCCAACCTTCCTTCCAAGGAGTGGCTGGTGGGTTTGAACCACCAGCCTTTTGGTTAGCAGTCAGGTGCCTTAGGCACTATGCTACAGAGCTCCTTTGGGTTGTTATATCTTACAAATAATGTATAAAATACTTACAATGAGCAACAGAACATAATAGTCCTCGATACAATGGAGTTTAACATTTAGTACTTCCCTTTTCTCAGCACACTGCCCATCCCAAACTCCCCTGAACTGCTGCAGACAAAAATGACTCCACAGCTGATATGATACAAAATGATCCTTAGGTCATCATTTCACTTGTATTAAAAATTTTAAGGAGAAAGAACAGGATATGTGCAGTGTTATTCTCCGAGTTCCTGCAACCCCAGGGGAATGGTCTGATGTCCTATTTACATGGCAGGAACAATAAAGAGCTTTATTCATATTCACAGCTGCTCTATTCAGTTATAGCGGCTGCCTGAATCATTTCATGAACTGGAATCTGAGACCCTGACTCATCTCAGTGAGTGAAATAATCCCCTAGTCACCTGGCTGTGTTTACCATGGGCACTGGAGATGGTAGAAGCAGTATAGATGGTGTGTATTTATCATTCCCTAAAGGGGCATGTGCACAATTTTGAAAGACCACATACATTTGGAGGGCTAGGGAGGGGTAGAAATAAGCTTTTTTATCCCTGTCTTGATAATGCCTTTAGTATTAAACCTACTTAACTTACTTGACCATCCCCTTGAAAGATGATCATTTAGCATCAGGCGGAACTTAGAGCCCAAATCAAGCAAAGAAAATGGTTGCAAATGCAGGATGATTCATCATGTTTGTTTTCATTCTTAGAAAATTCTGTTCTACCTTTTCTCCCCTTCAACATCTCCAGACTAATGGAATTGTCCCCCAAATTACCATGACTTATTACTAAGACTTCTTCTGGTATAATAGTTTCACTTCAACTTGGAGCAGCAAACAATTATGTTTAGCAGTTTTCTTGGATAGCATCAGAACTGAGGATGACTGGCCGCAGTCTTTCATTAAAATCCACTTGGAGAGCTTCTTTAGTTTATCCCTGATCATGTGCACATGGAGCGGTATTCAGGATAGAAGGTTCTGGCCATGAGTGGTTTGCCCGGAGCAGTGGAAAGAAGGTAACCTCTACATTTGGACCTTACTGCCGGCCCTGTGAGGTGTTGATTACTGCGGATCTGGCCCACCCAACTGGATTAAGCCCTAGAGAGGAGAAAAAGTAGGAGTGAGTGCTGGTGTTGATGCTTTGAGAGCAGAAAGTGGAATTCAAGTGTAGCAGATGGTTTACAGATTGATTGTGGCCTCGTAGAGATTTATAGTCTCAGCCTTTGGTTTTGCTTCATGAGCATTTTCATGCCGGCAACATTTTCATAAATTTCAAGGCCTACCAGAAAGGTATTTTATTTTTCCATGAACTGAAGAAAGCATTATTCATTTATTTAAATAGAGCTAAGAACTCTGTGTGTGGTGTTTATAAGTATTTTCCTCTTTCAGCCACTTACTGATATTCCTGTTGTGTTTTTTCCTGGTCACTTTATATTTGTCTTTAGGCATTTCCATGTTATTTCCATGGCAGGGTGTAGCCACATAAGCAATATGGCAGGTTGTGTAGAAGAGTAAGAGATTTTTGTGCACACATGTGTGTATCCTATAATGATTAAAGGATATGTTCATTTGTTCTTTAAACTGAGCCACAAAGACATTTATCCTTACTAGGAGCTTGACCTATCCAACTGTAAGACTTGCTATTATTTGTTCATTGTAATAGAAATCTTGAATACCGAGTATCCAGCCAGTGCCAGACTCTGGGATGAATAAATCTTGGAGTGCATAATGCACACAACAGATACCACATCTTTTGTCTTTCTTCTGAGAAATGATGTTGAAAAAAGGAAAGCCTTTCATATAATTATCAATATTCAGGATATTTGAATAAAATAAAAGGATACATTCCTGATCATTTGAAATGCCTTGTTTGGGTGCTGTCATATATTTCCAGAGCAGTATCAGGTTATTTTCATTGTAGAATTTACGTTTCATCAGCCAAGCAAAAGTAAAAATAAAATGTACAACTAATGATGCATAATTTAGCAGTGTGGTTTTACCAAGTAACAGAGCAAAGTCATAGATTCTATTTTAGGGCAGATGGTAGTTTTAGAAAAAGTATGTTGTTCTGGCTACCTAGTGCTGTTCTGACAAGAATATACAACAAATGGGACGGCTTGAACAACAGGAGTTTATTCTTACAGTTTGGAGGCTTTAAGTCCAAGTTCAAAGTGCCAGGCTCTAGGAATAGGTGAAAGCCCCTCAGCCTTGGGCTTCATCTCTGCCTCCAACTCCCAGCCTACTGAAGCTAGAGGCTTCACTCAGACAGCTGTTGGCTGCTAAGGCTGAGAAGCCCAAGGTTGACAAACAAAATGGCACAGTCCCAATGTTACCTGACCACATGGCAGGCCATTAATTTAAGTCCATTGTAAGTCCCCAGGTTGGCAGAGCATGGCAGGCTGCTGAACAACAACATGACTACATGGAGGGTCCAAGGGTGCCAATAAGCTAGAGACCATTACCAAGGCTTATCCTTATATACAGGAAGCGGACCAACTCCCAAAGGCAGCTACTCAGCTGCTTGTGGTAGATCCCACCATGGAGTTTATTGCCAGTCTCATAATGAGGAATAACTACCACCAGCTGCCCAGCCACTCAACCAGGCCCAGCCAAGTTGACACACAAACATAACTACCACATATATTTTCTTTGAAAAATCTAAAAGTAAAATTTGTTGTTGTTTGCCGTGGAGTCGGCCCCAACTCATAGTGACCCCTCCTTGGGTTTCCGAGGCAGTATCACTACGGAAGTAGGATTGCCCAACCTTCCTTCCAAGGAGTGGCTGGTGGGTTTGAACCACCAGCCTTCTGGTGAGCAGTCAAGTGCCTTAGGCACTATGCTACCAGAGCTCCTAAAGTATAATTAAGTTATCATAATTAGGAGCCATTACTGTTTTTTGGAATCTCAAAAAACTCACTGCTGTTGAGTCGGATCTGACTCACAGTGACCCCTTCTTGGGTTTCCGAGGCAGTAGCACTACTGAAGTAGATTGCCCAACCTTCCTTCTGAAGAATGGCTAGTGGGTTTGAACCGCCAGCCTTCTTGTTAGTAGTCAAATGCCTGAGGCACTGCTCCACCAGAGGTCCCTGTTTTTTGGAAAGCAACTAATACGCTTTTTATAACTTTGTATTGGACTGTCTATTTTACTTTCAATTTCTTCTACAACTTTTGGTCTCATGTATATTCTATGAATGCAAGATTAGAGGTATTCTTAAAGTCAAATAAGAGGAGTGTTTTGCCCACGGAAGTATACATAGGTGATAGAATGCCTCTGGATATACTATGTTAGAATGTAAATTGTCTAAATAAAAAGGTTCACCCCTAATCTCAGCTATTTCTCAATTTTGTAGGTGGAGTATCATTTTAAAACCAGGGAGGCCTAACTATTCCATGCATTTCATTCTGGTATAAAAGTTGCATACAATGATTTTATTTAAAAAAAATCAAGAGCTAATGTCTAGAAGCTTTTGAGAGAACTCCGTTTTCAATACTGTCGTTTAACAGCTATTACTTCATAGTCAAAAAATCTTGTTTAACCCAAGAATGAAATGAGGTGGTGGTGTGCTTCTCAGAGCTGCCCAAACAACATAAAACTTTAAGGAGGTAGTGGTATTTGTGTATTTTTAACACTCTCTCTCTCTTCTTTTTTTTAAGCAATTAACTCTCAGAAATTCCAGAAATAGAAATATTAGGGACAAAATCTGCCAGCAAATGTGTTTTTAACTCTGAAGTCTGTTTCAGAAAATATTTGGAAGTAAGAGGTCCCTGACAATTGGGAATTTCCAGACATGAGCCACAATTGCCAGAGGATGATGGATGCAACACTTATTTCCCTAGGAAAGTGCCACCTGGGAATAACTGGTGGGAAGATGGCAGCCTGGCTTGGAGCTCCAGTTTGGAAGGGAATCGTAAAAATGGAAAATAAATAGAAAAGGGATAAATACATATCATTTCTTGGAATAGGAAGTATAGAATAAAGGAAAATTGGCCCAATGTCACTAGATGGAAGGGAAATAGAAGTGTTAAAATAACTTAAAGAAAGTAGTAGCAATTTTCAAAAACAACAAAATAAATAAAAGTCAAGCTACTATTTCATGATTTCTTCCCTAGTGTGAGACAGTTAAATACAAATTGGTAGAGTTACCCTAATGTATTTAGTATTAGATATAGCTGACTTTGCTAGACCCATGATAGGAAATTGGCTTAAAGTGAACCTAAGATCAGAGACTTGCCAGCATTTTTGTACTTAAAAGATCAGTTACACATACATGACCTTTTAAACTTGCAGCTAGATTAAAGAAACCTTTACATTACAAGGTTTTAAAAAACTCTATTCTCAGAATGTGTGAATATTTTATTAGTGTCCACAATAGTCTTTCTATTTTTGATGATTTTGCAAAGCAGTGAATTTACCCTCACAAATTAAAATATATTTCCTGCCTCTTCTTTATGCAGTGCAATGTAAACTGCTCTCTCTGCATAGTAGAGTGTGTCACATGGTCTGATATCATCTGTTTTATAGCTTTAACCAGCAATGGTTCCAAATTATTATATTGTCTCTGAATTGAAAGTAACCCAATGAATAAATCTTTCCATGAGCTCTCTCTATTTTACTTTATTTCTGTACAAGTATCTACCTCATGTTTTTTTCAAGTTTTTTCTGTACCTCTCATAACCATAATGACAGCTTTTTTATACATAAAAGAGGACATTTTTAGGTTGAGTGTTGTTTTTGCTTACAGGTTCAACTCTTATGCGAGCATGAAAATTTTCCTTGTATCAAAATCACTTAATGTTCATTTTGAAGTTCATTCTACTTTCTTTATCTAGTGTGGAATATACAATGTATCTTTAAATCTACCTAGGGCTCATGAATACATGAAAGAAAATTTCCTCAAGGTAAAATGGCAGGAGGGATGGTGTGAGAGGAGAGTTCTGGACACAGCTCTGCCATGCCTGCCCCTGCTGATGGAGTGGGAAAAACACTGAATTTAACAATCTCTGTGTGTAACCACTTGCAAATGGCTTCACCTCTTTGAACCTCAGCTTCATTTTCTAGCAAATGAGGATAGTGTCTATCTACTTTACTTCTTTCTCAGGAACATTAACAGGGTTAAATAAGCTAATATATCAGAAAGTGCTGTACAAACTGTAAAGTGCTGTCCAAACATAAGACATCATGCCAGTAACTTTTACTAAGAAGAATCCTTTGTTGACTATGTGTAAATGGCCTCAATATTATTGCTGTTCCCCTCTTTCCTTTAGCAGTCTCTCCTCACACTGCCATCTGACTTCATTTATGTTTACACTCTTTGAAGCTCTTTGATTTAGAGCTGGTACCACCTCATCGTAAATACACAGCACTATATTCACAACACCCCAGAGGCCAGTGTCAGGGCTCACTTTATAAAAGTTTTAGTTCAGAGCAAATCTGACAAAAGGCAAGTCTCCGGATTGCTTTACACACCAGTGACCCATACCTGCTAGCACCTACATAAAACTGGTCATCTTCGTTGTTGTTATTGTTGTTATGTGCCGTCGAGTGGGACCCGACTCATAGCGACCCCTCCTTGGGTTTCCGAGGCAGTATCACTACAGAAGTAGATTGCCCCATCTTCCTTCCGAGGAGTGGCTGGTGGGTTTGAACCTCTAGTCTTCTGGTTAGCAGTTAAATGCCTTAGGCACTGCACCACCAGAGCTCCTGGTCATCTTCAGCTAGCATTAAAGCATGTCATGAAAGCTTTCAAATGAATATCTTCTGTTTATCTTATTTTATTTATTTATTTATTTTAGCAACTTACGATGTACCACCTGTTTTTGCAAGCCCCACACCATCAGATGAACCTGAAATATCAGAGCCCCACACAGGTATACACAGCCTCTCAGTCTTTGAATCCTAGGCAGTCAGACAAGTCTGAGCCTCGTATTCCTTTGCAGAGTAGAAAACTGCACTTTCTAGAGCTCCTCAGGGGGAAATAAATAACCTTCTTTGTCAGGGAGATGAAATCTCCTATCTACTCCTCCCATTGACCACTTATTTATTTGCATCCATCAAGGAATAAGCTCTCTCAACTGTGTGAGATGCAAATGGCTTTGGTTGCTTCTGAGGCAGAGTGATGTAGTGACTTGTCAGTCTGTTGTTCAGAATCATTCTAAAAGGTCTTTAGAGTCTTAGAGAATTTTCTTTAGGGCACAGATTCTCAAGTGCAAGGAGATTTTTCTCCCTTCCTCAGGGGACATGTGTAGAGACAATTTGGGTTTTCACAACCAGGGAAGATATTACTGACATCCAGTGGCCAAGGATGCTGCTCAACAGTCTACATTGCATTGATAGTCCTGAACAAAGAGTTATCAGGCTTAAATGTCAGTAGTGCCAAGGTGAGAAATCCTGCTCTGAACTGATCATGTCATCCATTTGTCTCTAGATCTTCAGCTGGGTCTAGTCTTTGGCATTCACTTACAGATCCATCTGTAGTGAATTTACCTCAGTCCATCAGTTCCTTTCAGCAAGCATTTATTAAGCACCTACTAGCCACAGTACTGTGAGATATTCACAGTGAATAAAACTGGTATCTGTCAAGCATGCATCTAGATGTGATCTTTTTTTTGGCCTAGTCTTATTTGTGTCATGCTAAATAAAGGCAAATAATTTCAAACAGCAGCATGAATAAGGAAAAAATGAAATAGAATGCTAATAGTGATTCCTATTAACAATTATGAAATAAAAGGAAAAGATCAGAAAAAAAAAAGTTGCATGCATGAAACACTGTTTTATCATGGTTTCTAATATTTAAAGTATGTATGTTTTCAAAAGTGAACTCATCTTCAACTCCTAATGAATCACTAGTTTAAAAGTGTTGGTTAGCAATCTCTCCAGTGTTCTTGATGTTTTTTTCCCCATCTGAGGCATAATTTATTACTCATGAATTTGTATTTTATTCCTGGGACCTTCTGCTGCTTTTGTAAATGTTGACGTTTATTCCAACAGCAACAAGTGAACCTATTCTGGATTCTGTCCCACCTAAAACTTCTAGAACTCTTGAATGGCCAAGGGCAACACTGGGTAATGTTTTTAACAGAAAATTCATACTTTGTTTTCCATCAAAAGAAAATCCATGTGAATGCCTTTCTTCCAAATTACCATTGAATTCCATCACATCTAATCAATTATCATCTGTTTATTTCTGAATATATACACATTTTTCATATAGTATAGACATCTTTTATATTCCATTTTTAGCTCACTCTCTCTCTCTCTCTCTTTTTTTTTTTTTTTTTTTGCTATTTTGGATGATATTTTTCCTATTCTTAAAGGGGTGAAAAGCTTTGAACACTGCATGGAATTCTTCACCTTCTTCATCGCTTCCTATATGTTTGTGGCCTGTGTCACCTCATTTCCATACATTGAGTCTGCCTGCAGTCAGCTACTGGACAATTCTCCATCCTGGCCTTTCCCCTTCTTTAAATCATCATTTCATCCACCAGCATTCAAGACTACGTGTATTTTTCATCTTTAACCATGTCCTTGTAGCATGTGCTTTGTACCCTCTAAAAGCATGTTAAACTTCTTAAAATACCTCATTTTAACTGGGACTGTTTGGTGGGATGGGGTGTTTGTATTTTCAGCTCCAAGTGAAACACCATTCGTTCCTCAAAAACTGGAAATCTTAACCATTCCTGAAATACAACCTACAACACCTGGTAACTAATGACATTTGTACAACTCTATGTTTTCAAATAATGGATAAAATGGCAACAACAACAAAAAAAATCAGGCAACTTGGCCTTTTGAGAATATTTTCCTTACTGAACCCTTTCCTTCATACCCTACTGTGAAATTTTTCAAAGATCTGGGTTATGTATCACACTTAGCCTTGTGATAATCCCCAAAGAATTTCCTTAATTCTAATGTCTCTATATTTCAAAGAATTATTTCCCTTCTTTAGTCCCTCCAGCTGGAACTCCTTTCAACTGGAAAATATCAGCAGAATTATAGATGATAATTATTTTAACATATATGCCTTTCTATTTAGCATATTTAGATATCTCTTGGGCAGAATATTTCCCCAAAAGATTTATAAAAAGTACTAAGTAGGTTCTGTAATCCTTCACATGAAGAAAAAGATGAGCAAAAGACAGCTAACAAAAACTACATTTAATAATAGAAAATTATTGGAATAATAAAGTTTGTTAATTCAAGGTGAGCATGGTAATGAGCTAAAGAATTGGAGAAGTTCTCTAAATCCCAAACAGTTCATTTGTGCTTTTCCCCCTGCTGTCCAATAAATCATCCTTTGAGTTCTTAACTGTACTGTGTGTTGTGAAATGCCTCAAGGATGCTCACTTTTCAGTACATTTAATTGAACAATGTACATTGTATGTTTAATCTTCATATGGAAATTATGCTCATTTTGGCCCAATCAACACTTTTTACTGAGTACCTGTTATGTCTAAAGCATGGTGTGGGCACTCTAAGAATGCAAAGTATAAACCATGTTTACACTCAACTAGTTTACAAATAAGGAGCCTGGTAGCACAGTGTTAAAGTATTTGGCTGCTAATTCAGGAGGTCACAGTTCAAGCCCACAAATCACTCTGTGAGAGAAAGATGAAACAGTCTGTTTCTGTAAAGATTTACAGCCTTGGAAACCCTATAGGGAAGTTCTACTTTGCCCTATGGGGTCTTTATGAGTTGGAATCAACTCAGTGGCAATGAGTTTGTTTGGGGTTTTGGGAGTTTACAGGTGCAAACGTTTAACTCCAGGAAATATCATTTATCAAAGCTGTACTAAATCTTTTTTTAGCTCCACAGCCAACTACATCTGTTCCTTCTACACCCAAACGACGCAAGCCCAAACCACCAAGAACCAAAGCTGGTAATTAAGTGTCTCTTTAATCTATCAAGATACAGATTCCCCACTATCCAAAAGTAGAGTATTCCTGTGAAGGTTGTCATAAACTGAAATGGCATAAAGTGAAGAAGCAATTACCATTAATTTATATTGGAGAATTTTTTTATTGTTCCAAGACACTCCTCCCCCCCAAAACAATAAATAACCTACCAGATCATATCAGATAACACACACACAAAAAAAACCTTAAAATAATACTCACATCTAGTGCTCCAAGACAGAGTTCAAAGCTATGGTGGCTTGATGCTGAGATGCTGAGTGTATTTCCCAGCGAAGGACCTTGGTGATGCCACTCTCACTTCTCAGGGTGCACGTTGCCTCTTTAACAACTCACGCAAAAGAAATGCTGAATGCTAGTTTTGCTTTTTGCCTTTTTGGTAAAAGCAACACTCCTCTTTGAATTTCTTTTTGTTAGCAAAAACAGGTACTAATGTAGATCTTTCCTACAAGCAAAGTGGCATAAAGCAAACTTTCAAAAAGCAGAGGATACCTTTTTTAAGCCCAGATTGTATGTTTCCCTATTATAGGTTAGTTTTTTTATAGAACTTGAAATTAACTAAAGATGAATAATTGATATGCAATAACAAAAACTCAAAATTTTCCAATATTTTATCGACATTTATGCATGTGATGTTCTGGCATATAAATATTGGTGTAAACCTAAACACAAATCATGTCACAGAATTGCAGAGTGAGATACATACTGTAACTCACTTTCCTCGTACGCATCTATTTTTAAGTGTATGTTAGGCCGATAGTTTTTGGTTCTGTTTGTTTGTTTGTTGGTTCCTATTATGTTTATAGTTTTGCACCTGGGACTAAAGCAATAGCTGAGATAGAGAGGATGTGACTACTACTTTGAAATTGCTTATAACCCTGAGGAGATAAGACCTATAAAACAATCAGAGAGCACCATAAGATATAACCTTCCTTTGACATAATACTTATGTAGAAGCTTAGAGAAGGGTAATGAGAATTGAAGATGCAGGCCTCAGGAGATCTGTAGGATTTAAACTGGAAAAGAGAATGGAACAATAAATATTACAGCATTGACTAGGTGATAGACATAGCTCATCAACCTGGAGACAATATTTTTCATCATAAAATAGTAATATCATACTCATGCTAAACAAACTGGGTTTTAGTTACTGCATTGTATTACAAATAATATTTTCTATGGTCTGTATGGGAACTTGGGTGGCAAAGTGCCTAAGGCACTTGACTGCCAACCAGAAGGCTGATGGTTCAAACCCACCAGCCATTCCTCGGAAGGAAGATTGGGCAATCTACTTCCGTAGTGATACTCCCTCAGAAACCCAAGGAGGGGTCGCTTTGAGTCAGAGATGACTCCATGGCACATAACAACAACAACAACATGATCTATATAGTTATGAAGGAGCCCTGGTGACACAGTGGTTAAAATGCTCAATTGCTAACCAAAAGTAGTTTGAACCTACCAGACGCTCTGTGGGAGAAAGATGTGGCAGTTTGCTTCCATAAGGATTCACAGCCTTGGAAACCCTATGGAGCAGTTCTACTCTGTCTTTAAAGAGTCACTAGGAGTTGGGATCAAGCTGGCAACATTGGTTATACTGTTATGACTGAGTTGGAAAATTCCTTCACAAAGCTTTTTTTCACTGGGTCTTTTGTAAACAGTAACTATTAAATATTGCAGTATTTTAAAAGCCCCCTTCAGTTCCTCTTTGGAGGATAACTCTTTATTATGTCTAGGATATCTTAACTGTTTTTTCTTTTCTTTCCATAACCAGAACGAACCACAAAGCCTGGAACACTTACACCTAAAATTTCTAAAAGCCCTGAACCAACACGTACAACTCTGGGTAATAATGTTATGTCCTTAAAGTTGTGTTACTTTATTTCACCATGGAAAATCAGTAATCCACCTGTTATGTAACGTTTCAAAAGTGCTCTAAATGGATCATTTGAGCAATACTGAAAGTCTCATAGAATTCACTGACTCCATAGATATTCAGGAATGGATAACTGGCCCTATAATCAGAAGATCTGAAGTCAACATTATACATCCTCTTGTGTCTTAGAAAACTGTTAGACCATTGCTTCTTCCTTGTCTTCTATCTTTTTATTGAATTTGAGGTTAAGTCTTATATAGTGCTCTATTTTTTGAGTAAGGCCCTCAAGTTCAACTTCAGACTTCATTTGGAAAAATGACTTTCTGTTATAGGGTTAGTAGAATTTTTTTATGCTTTAGCTCATAGCACTACACTTAACAGTGAATGTTAATTTTCCTGGTGCTTAAAGATTGATGTTGCTGAGAAATATAGAGTAAAGGTAAAAATTAATTAGACTGATTTTTTAAAAAGATCATAGATAAAAATCACTATCTTTATGGAGTTATTATATTTACTTGCAATGCTATATTTATATTTTTCTTCTGTAGAAAAATATACCCTTGAGATGTTTTTTAAACAAGATAAAAATTTATCACTGTATTTACCTTTCTATTAGATGCTGTTTTGTGAGTGGAGTATGAAAACTTTTTTAATGGAGTATTCCCCAAATCTTCCAAGATGGTAGACTTATTACAATTAACATAAATAGTTTATAGGTTTTCCTTTTATGGCTTGAGACACTGAAATGCCTAATTTTATTTGTTTATTATTTTGTTTCTTTGTTTTTCCAGCTCCCAGTAAAACACAATTTATCTCTTTGAAACCTAAACTCTCTCTCAGCCCAGAAGTGACACACACCACAGCTGGTAATTACCCTAAACTTTTTTTTTTTTCTTTCTGTTTTTTAATATTCCAAAATGAGGGTTAAAAATTTTGTCATGCAGCTCTGGAGGAAGAACTTCTGATTTGTATTTTGGTATTTGATATGTTTTTCCATGGAAAGGACAAAAATGCAGTGAAGTGATCTCCTCACAGCCAGCCCCTCTGATATCATCACAGCAAAAGACCATTTGAGCTGTGTGGTGGATCATGATGTTCAGGACCATCACAGAGAAGACATAGAAATGTAATGATGTGAATGATTGAGGACTCCCTTGTCTGGGACTACAGAATAGTTTCCAGTACCAAAGTTCACTGGAATTCAGATCACACTGCACAATAGCCTTTCAGCTGGAAATGGGAGAAGTATTTCCATCCCCAAAGAACTCTGCCTTGTTTGGGGGCCTCACAGTTCTCAAGCTGCAAGGCTAGAAAGGATTGTATTTCTGGTATTGCAAGCCTTCTTTCTAAATTAAGACTGATTTTTAAATGATGATTTCTGTTTTCTTCTCAGGAGATAATTGTCTTTTGCTAAAGAAAAGAAGGTTCTTTTGCAGGGAAGGATTATTCTGTACATATAATTTAAAATGGTGACAATTACTTGCATAAGGATTGCATGGCAGACTGAATGAGCAAATCTTCATATTATCTACTGATCCTGCATCTATATATTAGTCTTAACTGTTGGCTTGTAAGATCAGTTTGGATACAGAAACCTTTGCCATAACTATGTTGTCATGGTCATCTAAATTTCAAATCCTTAAAAGTCTGAGAACAATATATTACTCATCATAACATTCAATGGATTTTGGACTGGCATTTCCATTAATGGCATGTTTACTAGTAGGATTAGTAAAGTAAGAGATTTTTGCTTAGTTGGCCATGATTTGCTTTTGCGATGAAATGGGAAGAAAATTTAACTTCTCAGAATAAGAATTCTCATGACTCCTTTGGAAAAGGCAGTGAGTTGTATTCCAGGTGTAGGTGTCAGACTGGAGAAAATTAGGAATTAGGCAAAGGCAGTGTAGTTTTGTGGCCATGGGTGAGGCCTCCAAGTCATAGAAATGGAATGAAAACTCTAATTGGAGAAGTTACTCAGTGAAGGCATAATAACTGAAGAGCCCTAGCAATTTAACTGAAAGAGTTCTGACAGCTATATAAAAGAGGGGTTTCTTGTACATTTATTTAAATATTATGCTTAGGAGACTTTCAGATAAAGTATAAAAGGAAATCCTGAGTAAAATGGTTAATGTGCTCAACTACTAATTGAAAGGTTGAGGGTAAGAGTCCACCCAGAGGCACCTCAAAAAAAAATGGCCTGGCAATCTATTTCTGAAATATCAGCCATTGAAAACCCTATGGAGCCCAGTTCTACTGGGGTCATTATGAGTTGGAATTGAGTCAGTGGCAACTGGTACTGGCAATAACCATTCTATTGATGCTGTGTTTGAATACCAAGCAGGTCAAGAAATGACTGGATGTTTAGGTCATCAAATTGAAATGAACATTTCTCCAAAGTAATTATTTTTGTTATTACAAGATAAGAGTTAATGACATCAAACATTTCTCCCAAACTTCAGTTACAATTTTTACATGATAAGGTATATCATTAATTTCAAAGTTTTTAAGAAAATATTTCAGAGAGAAATTTTTTTATATATACAAATAAGTGGAAAGACGTGTGTTCTTGCCATTCTAATGTGTTTCATTCAGCAAAGAGCCTTCTTACCTGGTGTTTTCTTTGCAAAGGTAAAGGATTATTTGGAAGATGATGAGTTTGTATTCTTTTGATTTCTACTTTCTAGTCACCTAAGAATATACCCTAACAGCAAGTCTAACTCCTTCAGAATCTGCACCAACTCCTTGTGACCTTGAGTGGCCCAAGGCAACACAGGGTGCTGACTGGATCTCTGCAAACTACAGCCTTGGTTTTTGCTTTTTTTTTTTTTTTTTTAGGGTGACCATCGTTATAGCTCTGTTGAAGATTTCTGTTTCTAGCCACGGTTCAGAAGAGCAAATAAACCAGCAAAAGCTTTTTAATGGCATAATTCACTGACTTTCCTAGTCTTCTCCTCACATTCTCTTATTTCTCCATTTCACTTTCCATGTGGGCTCCTGTGGTTTTCTTTGGTGGTTAAGCTAATAAGTAAAAATTCACTTTGGTTTGGGTTTGTTTTATAAGTAGATTCCAGTGCATTTCTCAAAAACCACAGTCACCTCCTATGTCCCAACATTTTTACCTCATCCATTTTTACCTCATTTTTACAATTCTAAAAGAATTGTTTCCTTTATGGTTTAATCTTTAAGGTTGTAATGGCATTGCAGTTTCCAAGCTTTTAACGGACTGGTGGGGTGGGAGCCTCCAATTACAGATCTTTGTTTTATACAGTGCTCTTACATGGTAGATAAATTGTGACTTGTATTTTTCTTTGTTTTGTGCTGATGTGAGTGGTTAGTCATTTGTATACCACTCAGTTTTCTAATGGAATTTTATACCTTTCTTCTTTACACCTTAAGATTGTCAAACAGAGGAAGTCTTATCAGATGTATTTGCTTTTAGTGCTGACATTGATGGGCTTTGGTATTTTTCAGATGCAGATTTGAAAGTTAGTTGATGGAATTCTATCCTTATTTGGTCTCAGTCTTAGTCAGAAACTAAAAAAGGCAGATTTTTCTTTTATAAAATGAAACCTAGGAAAGCTGAAACAAGAGGACTGCTCTGTTTTTTGTGGATCGTAAGTTTTCTGCCTTTGACAGGATGCAGTCCTACCACTTCTCTTCTCTTTCATTCTTTGTTGTTTTTGTTATGTGCCTGTGCCATGGAGTTGGACCCGACTAAGAGCAACCCGTCCTTGGGTTTCTGAGGCAGTATCACTATGGAGTAGATTGCCCAACCCTCCTTCCGAGGAGTAGTTGGTGGATTTGAACCGCCAGCCTTCTGGTTAACAGTCAAATGACTTAGGCTTTAGAGGGCAATATTTGAGTTTTCCTTCTCTGACAAGTTTTTGCCTTATACAGGTTCTGGCTTTTCTAGGTTTTACTGAATATACAAAATCAACATTCTTCAATCTTCTTTTAATTTTTTTAATTTATTGTGCTTTCAGTGAAAATGTACACAGCAAATTGGGTTTCCATTTGATAATTCCTACACAAATTGTTCAGTCACATTAGTTACATTTTCCAGAATGTACTAACATTGTCTTTAACTCTGTTCTGGTTGTTGCCTTTATTCTTCAATCTTTGTGAAGGCTAAAGATGATATGTGTAACAAATCTGACTTTTTCACACTTTGAGGAGGCAACTTTGTAGAAATTAAAACATGAATTACAAACTCAAAGTATGAAAAGAATTTTTTGATGTTTGTCATTTTCAGATGTAGTTGCCTTCTTGATATTGATTAGTATGTGTTGAGGTTTATCTACCTTTATCATGTAGAATCTGAGACACTGAGAGTACGCTCACTAGTGTGCTTGTGTGCACTTTCTCTCTCCCTTACACACACACACACACACACACACACACACTGCTTACAGAATCTCTGGTTGTACAGTGGTTAAATGCTCAGCTGTTCAAACCCATCAACTGCTCTGTGGGAGAGGGATGAGGTAGTCTGCTTCCATAAATGTTATTCTGTCCTGTAGGGTCACTATGAGTTGGAATCAACTAATGAGTTATTTATGTATACTTCAATCTGAGACATCACTACTGCTTCGTCATTGATCTATTATAATCTATTTTGGGGAAAGCTTTTTTTTTTTTCCCCAATCACCATTGTTTCATTTCGGTCTCTCACACCTAACGTTTACTCTTCTTTATTCTCACAAGAAGATTTTTTGCCACAAAGGTGCATGTTGCCGCCTTTAAGGAGAACCTTGTGCTATAATGCATTGATTTCAGAATAGATGAAAACTCTATATCTGCATATTTTTTGTGGTGGTGGCAGGGGGGTTCTTCTTCAGTTGCTCAAGAGTCACTTGTTGCTTCTCCCAAACCTGTATGTCCACTAGTCCAGGAATGTCAGAGATAATTGATGGTAAATGTCATATATCAGAAATATGTAAGTGGCAGCATTATTTAAGTTTTATGATGGTCAGTTAGCTCCATATTAATTTTTTTTCTGTAAGGTAAAATAATCATACATAAAATCTTTACTTTTTCTCTTGTTTAAAAAAGAGTTTTTAAACTTCTTCCCTAAAAAAGTCATTCTTTTTGTTCTATAGAATAATAAGCCACCTATTTGATGGTCTCTTTCAAATAGCCCAAACAGATATCGTAACCAAATTAGATTCAGCAAGAAGTATAATTTACCTACTGCAGTTTGAAGGAACATTGGAGGCTTGTTATCTATCAGAATATGTAAATAATCTTCAGTTATTCAACGTATTCATCATTTCATGAAATCCAAGACTGGTTTTTTTTGTTTGTTTGTTTGTTTTGTTTTTTAACTTTTATTGTGGTAAAAACATACACACCAAGACATTCACCAACATAACAACTTCCCCATTTATAGCTTAGGGACACTAATGACATTTTTCACTTTGTGCCACCATTATTACTGTCTTTTTCTATAATATTCCACTACCATTAGCACAAACTCAATGCTTCACAAACAAAAGCTTCCCCTTTCCTCCTCCATCCTACACCTAGGTTTTTTGTTTGTTTGTTTGTTTGTTTTGACACCTATTATTTATTAAGAAGCTCTTGTAGCATAGTGCCTAAGGCACTTGACTGCTAACCAGAAGGCTGTGCCTAAGGCACTTGACTGCTAACCAGAAGGCTGGCAGTTCAAACCCACCAGCCACTCCTCAGAAGAAAGGTTGCAATCTATTTCCATAGTGATGCCGCCTCAGAAGCCCAAGGAGGGGTCGCTATGAGTCGGGTCCAACTTAATGGCACATAACAACAACAACAACATTATTTGCTAAGCAAAATGGAGTAAGTCTCATATGTAAATCAATTTGTGTTATCAGCAGCAGAGGCTAGTAAA